TTCTTTCTTTCTTTCTTTCTTTCTTTCTTTCTTTCTTTCTTTCTTTCTTTCTTTCTTTCTTTCTTTCTTTCTTTCCTACCTTCCTTCCTTCTTTTCAATGGGATGGCCAAGGGAAGGGAGTAGAGATAGTGGATAGATTATAAATGCCTGTAAAAATCAGTCAGTCAGTAAACATTTAAGTGCCTACTGTGTGCCAGCCGCTGCATTAAGCACTAGGGATACAAAGAAATAACAAAGTCAGCTCTTATTCTCAAGGAGTCCTCAGTCTAATGGGAGAAACAATGTGCCAACAGCTATATACAAACTAGCTACAGACAGGATAAATTGGAAATAATCAACAGAAGGAAGGCACTAGACTTAAGTTGAGAGGGATCAGATTGGGAAAGGCTTCCCGTGAAAGGTGGGATGTTAGCTGCGACTTGAAGGAAGCTGGAAGGTAGAGATGAGGAAGGGGAGCATTCCAGGTAGGAGGGATGACCAGAGAAAAGATTGGCCCCAGATAGTGATCCTATAGACCAGTAGGGCAACGTAATCACAGACAAGCAGCCAGGTGGTAGGACTGAGAAAGATTCAAACACCAACGAGGCTGTGCAAACCACGGGCTTTGGGCAGGTGGGTGGAGCCTGGCCCTAGTCCATTCTTAGGTTCTTAAAGGCCTAATGGCCCTACAGCTTTGGTATGTGATGCTCTGTTGACTCTGGGTAACTGGTTCTTTTCCTCACATTGCTAAAGTCAGGCATCAGGCTAGCTGGACCAGATCTAGGCTTCGGGGCAGGGACAGTTTCCACATAGCTTTTGTTGATATGGTTCTGGCCCTGTAGCTTCACCTGCTCTTCCAGTCTGGGGCCACTCCCAGCAGAGACAGTGACCTGGTTCCCTGAGGTGGACAAATGTTGGTTTTGAGAACTGTAGACTGCCAGGTCTGGATGGGACCTTAGCACGTGGGACCCGGAATGCCAGCCAGCCCAACTCCCTTATTTTTCACAGGAAGAGATTGAGGCCAGAGGAAGCTACTTGCCTAAGCTCATATAGCTAAAAATTAGAAGGTGACTGATTGTATCTGAAATGGGTGTCTCAAAGGAGAGGAAAGGTAGGCTTTATGCATTATCTCTGTGCCCAGAAGTCTCCAGCAGCATCATTGCTCTGAGAAATAGTTGCCCAAACTGAGTTAGGATCAGAAGAATCTCTTTATAGTAGCGTTGGGTCTTCTAACCTATTCCTGGGTGGTGGGAAAAGGAAGGAGGCCAGGAAGGGACATTGCTAGATGCAGGGTGGAAGAGTAACCCTGAAAACGGATTTGACTTTTCACCAGAGAGGTCACAGCTGTGTTTGGGGGTCCTGGGATCTGGCTGTGGTTCAGAAGCTTGCAGAAGAAGGAAGCCAGAGTGTTGAGTGATAGCTTATACATTATGTGCAGCCATGGGAAAAAGACATGTGTGAGTCACTGCTGATGACCCTCTGGGGCCTAGCTTCTCTATACTTAGCCTTTGTATTTCAGATTTGATAACTGATTAAAGCAGCTTCTGAATGCCTTCTTAAGGGCTGGCCTCTCAGCATGACTTGAATTTAAGAACAAAATATCCTTGAATTCCCCATTTTCCCTACATTCTGCAAAGCTACCTCAGCTTCCCTCCAGATTAAAACTTGAATGAATACATTGGAAAAATCCTTGAATGCCTTAAAAAGTCACTGTTTCTGGGGTTTTAGTTGGCATCTCCAGGCCTTTTCACATGTATAACTCCCTGGGTAGATAGGTGGTGCAGTGGATAGACTACTGGGCCTGGAGTCCAGAAGATCCGAGTTAAAATCCAGCCCCAGACACTGCCTAGCTGTGTGAGCCTGGGCAAGTCACTTAACCTCTGTCTTGGTTTCCCCTACCATAAAATGAGGATAATAATAGCACCTTTCTCTTAGGGTTGTCCTGGGGATTGAATGGGATAATATTTGTAAAAAGTGCTTTTGCACAATGCCTGGCATATAGTAAATGTGTAATAAATACCCATTCCCCTCCTTCCATCCCTTCCCCTCATCTACACCTTTGCCTTGGCCCCACCCTGCATAACCACTTACATGGGTAATGGTTGGTGATTCAACAGATGCTGTGGTTTATGGCCTATGGCCTGTAGAAACAGAGGTGCCTCTGGTGTTTTCCTGTGGAACATGAGACGACAGCTAGGAACATGTCATGGTGTGCTGTGATAAAGGGGGTAGCGAGTTTTTGTGCCTGCTGTATGTAGCAAGAGTTTAGCTCGGGCTTCCTGCCTCTTGGACCAGAAAGGGAACATTTTGAAGCCATCTTCACTAAGAACCAAACCTTGTTTTGGTATAATGACTTTTTGTTCTTTGTTCATCAGTTTCCTTTAACCAAATGAATGGGAACCAAACCTGGTGTGTTCCCATTTTAACCACTCCTCTGTGTACTACCTTAGAGGGTGGGGTTAAGAGAGCCTTCCTAAACCCATCTGTCAAAGGAGATACTTACTGCCATTTGCATATCTTGCTCTCCTCCTTTCCTTTTCCTTTCCCCTAAAATCTCTCAGGCCTCAGGATCAGAGATTTAAAGCTTGGAAGAGAACTCTGAGGCCATCTTGTCCAATCCCCTTATTTTAAAGATTGAGGTTTAAGGAGTTGAAATAAATGCCCAGGGTCAAACAGCAGTGAACATTCTAGGTAGGATTTATTTCTCTTAGTTATTC